TAAATTGGTCGCACGTTATGTTTTGTGCAAACTGTTTTCAAACTTGGTGTGAGGATGTTGAATCTTACGAACCCTTGTAGTTTTGGGATTGATGTTTGACTATTTATTCATGAGTTTGTGTTGGTTGATGAAAACCGCTTGTGCAAACCGGGTAATGAATCCCCGTAGGCCCAGATAAGACTTGGGTTATGAAAATGTTAGTTAACACCCACTAAGTTTTCGAAAATGATTTTTGAAAATTTTTGGAAAATTCGAAATTTCTGTAAAATCAAAGTGGGGTGTTACACAATTACTCTTTAAACTCTACCATGAAATACATCATATGTGCTATCTAATCATAATAACACATTCATTTCTCAACTTAATATCATGGAATTCACTTTGATTCTTCACTTCAAAATTACCTCATTTTACTATCATTTCTACCACTCAAACTCTCAAATAAACATATATAACTTTGTAATATTTCTTTGGTGTGAAAATTCAGATTTTGAAGGCCCCTACTTATAGCCAAAATTTTAGAATATAATATTTGGAGTGAAGAAATTAACAAATTAAACAATTTAAACTTGTAAAAATGAATCACTTTAAATATATCCTTACCTAACATTATAACATCAGCTTTTCTTAATTTAATACTCAAAATTAACTTTAGTTGCCACCAAAAACGAGTTAATGACAATCTGATCATTTCTGTCGGTCACACGACCCGTGTGACATGTCACACGACCCGTGTGACCTCACACGACCAGTGTGACTTGAGTTACACGACCAGTGTGATCTCACACGACCCGTGTGACATTGAGTCACACGACTCGTGTGAAAATGCCAAAACTGAACTTGAACAGTGCCTTGAGCCACACGACCCGTGTGGCCTGTCACATGACCCGTGTGACTTCACACGACCCTTGTGGCTACCCACACGACCAGTATGACAATAAAACTTCAAAATCTTATCTTATTTGGCCTCAAAAATAGCTCAATCTTGAAGATAAACTGATACTTAATACTAATAACTGAATGAGATATTACAATCTTACCCCCTTTAAAACTATTTCCGTCCTCGAAAATACTGGAACTGGGATACATACTATCTGAGTATATATTAAAACTTAAAATCTGGAACTCTAACATTAGCTTATTACTCCTAGATGGCATCTTATTCTCCATGCAATTCTATTTTATACGAACGAGTGGAATATCTCGATTCCTTAGCCGATAAACTTTTTGGTCCAAAACTGATACCGACGGTTCCTCGTAAGTTAAAACTTTCTGAATCTAAATCTCATTGTGCTAAAGCACATGATTTGGATCGCTCACGTATACACGTATCATCGATACATGAAAAACATTACACTTACTAACCAACTCGGGAGGTAATGCTAAATGATATAATACTTCTTCTACTCGTTCAAGAACTTTGAACGGACTTATACAACAAGATTGCAACTTACCTTTCTTCCCAAAACGAACGACACTTCTCATTAGTCGAACTTTCAGAAGGACTTTATCTTTAATCTCAAAATGCATTGCTCGTCCATGCTTATCAACTGAATACTTCTGCCAACTCTGAGCAGTCTTGAACCTTTCTTGAATTCCGGCTTACTTACTCAACTGTTTTCTCGATCATTTTCCATCATAATGATGATAATGCTAAACACTTTGACTTGCCTCTTATGACTCGGAATATGAATATGTGGCACGTTGCATTCGATGTACCCACTACCCGGGGCCCTTCAGATGCGAAACATTTACATACATGTACCTACAATGTCAATATCACCTGCAAACATAAAAATTCACATATATGTTAGGATTTTCAACTCAACTGAACTTGCCTCTGTGCCAGAAACCTTCTGATCAAGTACTACTATCAGTAGTTATATTCTTCTTACTTTAATTTAGCTGATGCCTCTGAACAATTGATTGAAAATTACTGCATTGTTGTAATATAAATTACCCAATTACTGATCTGTAACACCCCACTTTGATTTTAAAGAAATTCTGGACTTTCCAAAAATCAGTAAATAATTTTTCGAGATTATTTTCGAAATCTAACGGGTGTAAAACAACATTTTTCATAACCCAAGTCTTATCTGGACCCACGGGGATTCATTACCCAGTTTTCACAAGTTATTCATTAACCCAAATAATATCACATGACAAAATACTCAACATGAAATATTCAAACCTCATAAAAACCAAACATCATAAACAAGGGTCTATCAAGTATTCCCAACATCAAAACAAGTCATAAGTTTTTAATAAATTTTCACAAGCCTTAACATAAAAGGTTCAACAAGACCTCATTTATTCTAACGGAAGCGAAATATATAGGC